TAAAACCATTTTGCTATAAGTTGGCTCAGGATAGATATGTGTCCATCAGAAGACATTTCAAAACACATTTGATTTTAAACTTAAATCCACTACCTTGTTCCTTAGCACCTCTTTGTTTGCTGGCTCTGCTATGCTAATAACATCAGGAGTAATTTTTTTTTTCAATTTACAAAACGTTTCTCCAATTACTATCTCTGTTGAGCCTCTGAACAACCTTCAAAGCAGCAGGCTCCATCGCCCTGAGGTGCTCAGAACCTGGGCTGGGCCAGCATTGACAGACAGCTGGGTAGGCAGTTCCTTATCAGTGCCCGCTCTTCATCTTCCTGTCTGCCTGCCTCTGACAGAGGTGTTAACATCCTCTTTTCACAGGCAGGCTCAGAGAGGGGGCATCACCTGCCCCAAGTCCACCAGCAAGCCCCTAACCCAGGTTGAAGCCAGGTCTCTGGGTGCTGGATTTTGTATTCTTCCCCACGGGGGCCCTGTCCCCCTTGGGGGAACTTTTTTCCCCCTTTGTATTGAATTTATTGGGGTAACACTGGTTAACAAAATTATACAAGTTTCAGCTGCACAATTCTACAACACATTGTCTGTACACTGTACTCTTGGGGAAACTTCCACTGAAACCAGGGCTGACCAGTGTGGGCCCAGGCCTCCCTTGGCAGAGTAGCCCAAGCTTTTAACCAGAGCTGTCTCTGTGCAATTCCAGGACCCAGTGTGCCGTGGGCCGGAGGGAGATGGGCTGCATGCTCAGCGTCCCAGGGAGGCCCCTGTCCTCCCAGCAGCTGTGAGAAACACAGCTGGAACCACAGAGAGGAAACGAGGTACTCTGTATCCTTGGCAGGCATGACCTCCTGGGTTGAGCCTGTGGGCTTGAAGTCCCTTTCCTTTAACTGCTGCCTTTTGGAGGCTTATGCACTGCCCCCCACCAACCTGATCCCAGAACCCAGGATTTCCGACCCCAGTCCCCCATTTCTGGGGGCTGAAAGGTGTGGCCATTCTAGCCTAAGCGTGGGATTACCTCTTCTTTTTCTCTTCCACCTCACCTGCCTGTCTCTTCACACTCTGGTTACTGTTGCTCACATCTTCTGTTTCTTTCACTCCAGTTGTGGTGCACTGGAAGCCCACAGGTGAATGGTCATCGTTCCCTGGCCAGGAGGAGCCCACATTTCGTGGGGGAAGTGCACAGATGACCACACCCATGCAGTGTTGCCAACAGCAATCAGCTGTGGTCCGGGGAGGTGCAGGGGTTGCCAGGGGACACTTGACCCACACTGGGAGCTCAGAGAGGGCTTCCTGGGAAGGCTTTCTGGATAAGGTGCTGCCTGTCAGCCTGGACTGTAGAAGAATTAATAGGAGTCTGTTACAGGAAGAGGCTTTGGGGCAGAGGATTTCACAACAGTGTAAGCTCCACAGCGTAAGCATTTTAAAAAAATATTTATTTATTTATTTATTTTTAGGGGGAGGGAGAAAGAGAGGTAGAAAAACATCAATTTCATGCCCCCAACTGGGGACCCAGCTCACAACCCAGGTATGTGTTCTGACTGGGAATGGAACCAGCGACCCTTTGGTTTGTAGGCTGATGCTCAATCCACTGAGCCACACCTGCTGGGGCAGAAATTTTGTTTGGTTTATTACCCAGTTCCTAGAACAATGCTTGGTACATAGTACGTTCTCAATAAACATAGCTTAAAAGAAAGAAAAAAAGGAAGAGAAGGAGGGACAGAAGGAGGGAGGGAGGGAGGAAGGGAACCAGGGGGAGAGAGAGACAGAAAGGTCTGGAGGAAGAATGAATGAGTGGATGTGTGAAACCCCTTAGTACATTCTAGGAGGAAAGTACAGTAGTTCCAGGTGGCCAGTAGCTTAGGTGGGTGGGGCTGGGGGGAGTAGCCTTATCTAATCCTATTGTTTGTGGTGTCCATTTCTTATCTCCCCACTGGACCCAGAGCTACTGTGAGGATGGGACCATTTTTCATCTTGTGGCCCCTAATATCCTCTGGTGTCTGCATTGAATGTTAACATACACACAGGTATTAAACCTGTGCTGGGTGCTGGAGACACACGGATGACTCAGAATTAGTTTCTGTCCCGCACCCCTCCCCCACCTCCCTAGTCTGGCTGGGGAGACAGACAGTAAACAACTGATTACAACAATGGTCAGAAGGAACAGGGGGAGCTACTGTGTAGATTCAAACAAAATGAGACCAAGCACAGGGATGGAGTGATGGGTTTTGCTCCAGGAGTGAAAAGCAGAAGGGGAGTTTCTTGGGTGTGTTGGGAAGGAGAGGGCATTGGAGGGAGTGTCAGCCTTAAGTAATGGAAAGGTTAAAGAAGGGGGTTGAGGTGGGAGGCACTCTAAGGAGAGAAACCAGGCCCAAAAATGTGGTTCAGGGAAGGTGGGGACTGGGGGACAGAGTGGGGAAAGATGGGTTGGGGTTTTGAATGCTGTTTCTGGATGTTTGGATTCGCTGCTTATGTCACTGCATTTTGGATTCTAGTGCTACTGGCTGCACACTGCACACTTAGTTGGGCTGCTGAGTGGTTCTGCTTCCCCGGAACCCATCAGCTCCCTTCTCTCCTGCAGGCTGGGTCCTCCCACTGTGTCTTTTAGCTCCACCGGGAACCTACTGATGCAGAGTGTCATTCTGTGTGAAGGCCCAGCAAAGGGACAGCGTGCCTGACACAGGTTTCCCCAAAGCCACCCTTCTCTAATTGCCCCAAAGCCTCTGGAAGGAGGTGCTAGTCCTTTTTTTTTGGCGGGGGGGGGGGGGGAATCAGCATCACAGAACCAGAGGCTCTCAAGAGATAGTAAAGATCTCTTCACCCCCTTCTCATTTGACAGATGAGGAAAATGGTGCACAGACAGATACGCCTGTGCTGCAGCCCTAGCGCAGACAGGGCATGGCCAATTTGGTAGTGTCCACGATTAGATGGGCCAGAGAAGGGCAGTATTTTCCTTTGCCAGGACCTAACAAGTACTCACGATTTGTGGGCCTTGCAAACCCAAGATGAGTCAGGCTTCTTGTGAGTCAGTCTGTTGACAAGCCATCCCTGGCCATTCCTAGCCCATCAAAAATAGAAGTCCAGGGGAAGGGTATGAGCAGGCCAATTTAATTAGTGTGGGCTCTATGGTACCTTAAGTTAGCCCTGTTAAATTAAACTGCCTAGGGGAAAAAATAACTGTAATTATTTCCTTCTCTCCCTTATCGTTGTATTTCAACTCTCTCCCAACCACCATATCTCTCTCATTCACAAAACAACCTTCAAACTAGGAGCTAAGCAGAGTCAACCACAGACTAGGGTTCTGTGTTTCCCTTTTTCTGTCCTCTTCTCCTGAGAGCTCCAGGTCCCGGCAGAGAACAGAGGCGTCCCTAGGGCCTGGCTGTATTCTAATTTAGGGAGGCTGTTACATTGAGTAGAACATTATTCCAAAAATGCATCCAGTGCCTCCTTCCTGAACCAACGCAGATCTGTTTGCTGCGGGGCATTTCTTTTAAAAGCCCCTTTTCTCTCTTCTATAGATCAAAATAAGCAAACTTTAATGGTAGGGAATTATTCTTTATTTTCTTGAAATCTAGTTCTGAGTTTTCTTACTCGAAACGTGTTTTCCCCAGGACACTGACCTACCCTTTAATTGTTTGGAGCTAGGCATGTTAGGGGGAGGGGCGTTACTTGTTTATTGGAACAGCGCAGTAAAAAAAAAAAAAATCAACCTAGGCTAACAGTTTCAAGGCTCCCCTAAAGATGTATCCAAACAGGCAGCCAATCAGCGCTTACACAGCTTTTTCTGCTTGACTCTTTTAAAGAGACAGTGCAGACAGTGTTTTATCACATTTAAAGAGAACCGCGCTCTAAAAGCATTCTGAAAATGGGGGCGTCCTCCCTATTTCGCTGGTTTCTGGTCTTAAAGATTCTCTAATGAGGGACTCACAGTGTCCTCAGGGTTCTCGGTGTGGGTAGAAAGAGTCAGTAGCAAATAGCTGGGTCACTCTGCCAGCCTCCCTTCAATTTCCCATTGTACACCTGGGTCACTGACAATGGAAGCTCCCCTCCCCCCATTCCTGACTCTCGTTACCCACTCCCCAATTTAGATCCATTTATTTGAAGTTTGCAGATTTCTGTGGCGCGCATTTTACGTCGCGGGGCACCCAGGTGACCCCCCCACCCCAGAATGACACTGTCTCTCCAAGTCAAAGGCTAACTTGCCAGTGCTGTCCGATCTTGGAAATTAGGGGGCAATCACTCTCCCTTATCTTAGCCCAAGTTCCCTGTCCCCTTCCCCAGGCTCCCCAAAGCAAGCCAAGGGCCATTTTCGCGCGGCTCCACTTTGGGGCTTTCCAAAGTATTTTAATGATCTAGTAAAGGAGCAGCCGCGCGCCTCCGCGCCCGCTCCAGCCGCCTAGCTCGCAGCGTGGAACCCCAGGCCAGGCGCTCGGAAACCAGATTGGGAGAGAGGGAGGACCGGGGGTGGGGTGCTGGCGTCTCGGCGGCCGGAGGGGCCGGGTTGTAATCTGAAGGGGTGGTCAGTGTCGGAACCCAGGGGGAGAACCGGCGAAGGGGAGGGGGAGATAAGGCTTGGGCCGACGCGGGCCGTAGCTGGGGGAATGAGGGGCAGACAAGAGAGGGACGTAGCGGAAGGGAGACGGCGGTGCCCGGTTTAGGGGTCTGCGCCCCCTCCCCTCCGAGACTGCCGCAGCGCCCCCCCCCCCCCCCGCCCAACCCCGATGGTCCACGCCACGGAGAGCTCTGGTTAAAACCCATCCTCGCTGGGGTCGGGAGACCAGAGTTCCCCCATTCTGATTCGTGTCCCCTCTCCACATCTACAGAAAAGAGGCTCGCAACCCCCGGTCCCCCCGCAGGAGCACGGGCAGCGGCTCCACGGAGGTGGCCGCAGCGGGGACTGCCGTGGCTGGGCGCTGACAGGGCGTCCCTCCCGGGCCGCCCCGGGCCCGCCCCCACGCGCCTATAGGCCGGAGCGGCTATCAATCGCGGGACGTTGACGCCCGCCTCGCTCCCTCGCCGGGGTAGCCACGTTCGGTTGAGCTCCAAGTAGACCAGCGGCAGCGGCGGCGGCAGCGGTGCTGGAGGCGCAGAGGGCGGCGCAGGCGGAGCGGGGCGGGCGGGCGCGCTAGCGAGCCAGCGGGCAGCCGGGCCGGCGGGCGAGCGGCGGCGGCGGCGGCCCCGGCACCCCAGGCCGAGCCGGCGCGGGAGGAGTTCCAGGGCGATGGGGCCGCGGCCGGGGCTGACGCTTTGACAGCTGGAAAGAGCGCGGAGCCAGCGCCTGGGGGGGAGGGAGGGGAGCGCGGCTAGGAGAGCGCGAGCGAGCGAGCGGGCGAGCGCCGGGGAGGGGGCCGGGAGCGAGGGGCAGCTCGGGAGCAGCCGGAGCGGTAGCGGCGGCGGCGGCAAGGTTCGGTGCCCTCTTCTCTGCAAAACATGTTTGCCAAAGGCAAAGGCTCGGCGGTGCCCTCGGACGGGCAGGCTCGAGAAAAGTAAGCCTTATTTTCGAAGTGGCCGCCGGGCTGCGGGCGGGTGGGCGAGCGGGCGGGCGGAGGCAGGTGGGTGGGTGGGGGCTGCTGCGCCCCGGGCCCCGACGCCGCCTGCCTGGCCCGGTCCCCGAGGCCGCGGCGGCGGCGGCGTGGGAGAGCCCATTGTTGGGATCCGGCAGAGGTTGGGGCATCGGGGAAGGGGCGGCGGGAGGCGCTGCCGGAGGAGGGGGCACTTGGTGGCCGCGGGGCGTGCCGGGCATGGGGGCCGGCGATGAGGGGTGGGCGAGGTCCCGTGAGCAAGCCGGGATGGCAGCCCCACTCGGAGCGCTCGTCGCGGTGGCCGCACTTTGCCCACCGGGCGCGGGCAGGGGGCGCGTGGCTTCTGCAGCCCCGAAGGCTCCTTTTGTCCGCCCGCGGTGTGAGGAGTGCGTGCTGGGGGCTTTGTTCGGCTGGGAGCGTTCTCCCTTCCCTGCCCTCGGTCTCGCCGCCGGTCCCGTGCCCTCCGGGGCTCCGGTCTAGGCAGGGACGGCGGCGCCGGCTTGGCCCTAGGCTTGGGGGACAGTTGTTTGTGGGGGGAGGTAGTGACGGCGGGCTTTACTGCTTTTTCCAGAGCTCACCAAGCACCCCGGAGTCCAGGACTGAGTATCCCGGACCCTCAAAGCTGGGGAGAGGGTGGCAAGGAGTGGGTCTCGAAAAGGAAGGAGGCTTTGGGATCGGGTGGCTTTTGAGTTTGAGAGAGTTAAGTGGGTTTGGTTCTGACGCCACTTGTAAGTTAAAGTTTGGGGGCTGTTTTTCGGGCCCCATGACTTGAGAGAAGGCGTCTCCTGATATTCAGCCCCTAGCTACTCCCATTCGCGGCTTCAGGCAAGGCCGAGGTAGCTGCTCACCTCTGGTCAGGGCCACAATGGGACAGCGCAGACAGGGCTGGAAGCCGGCTGGCAAGGGCCAGGAGCAACTGCTCCTTGTGGTTTGACACCTCTCTCTTTCTATGCCCCCTGCCTACTTTCCAGGTTAGCTTTATACGTCTACGAATATTTGCTGCACGTAGGAGCACAGAAATCTGCACAGACCTTCTTGTCAGAGGTGAGTGGAACTCCCCCCATCATCCAATTTTTTGACACCCCCTCCTCCCCACCATTCTTAGAGCCTTTGTTTTCAGGAGCAGTCACTGTGGCCACCATTTTGAATTTTTATCACCTTTTGGCATTTATTGTTAGTTGGTCTTCACAACCTTTTGGTTCTGAGAAGCCCCCAGCCCAACCCTTCTCTCTGCTCGTGTAAGCTATCTCTGATCTCTACTTTCTAGATTCGATGGGAAAAAAACATCACGCTGGGAGAACCGCCTGGGTTTTTGCACTCGTGGTGGTGGTAAGTTTGTGTGATAATCTTGTGTATGTGTATTTTGTCTGAGTCCCGGGTCCGAGTGAGCAAAGACAGGCAGCCTGGAGCAGACCCCCTGCCTTACCCTCAGCACTGCACAGAGCTCGCACCTCTGGGCCCTCAGACCGGCATCCGTGAAGGGGGAAAAGGGCAGAAGAGGCTGGTGCCTAAAGTTTTTGCCTCCTCTTTTCCTTTCTGTTGAAAGCCTACTAAATCATGTCTACTGTGTGGATAGAAACTCCTTACTTTTCCATCTCACTCCTGTCCACTAGGCAGGCTTGAAAAAAAACCTTGAAGGATTTTTGTCAATTCTGCATGCTGCTTTAATTAGAGGGAGTTGGGGGGTGGGGCGGGGTGGAGGGGATACCAGGTCTGTTTTACAACTGGTCTATCTATTTTTTTTAAACTGTACACTCAGATCCTTGAGAGAGAAAGAAAGGTAATGGGAATGAGAATCTACCAGGACCTTTTCCACGGCACCCTGAGAAAGAGCAAGAAGGGGCTGCCACTTCCTTTAAAGATACTGATTCAGACTGACTGGACCTTCCTCTGCTCTGTGGGCTCTCCCTCCACCCCACCCCACCCCCAGCATCCCTAAAACCACAAAGTTTCATTTTACTGAAAACCTTAACTTGTCGCTGTCGACCTCACAGAGTGCCTGCAGTCGGTAGTTAGGGGCTCTCTTATATGTGACCCTCTCTCAGGCTCCTGGACCCTGCTCGTGGGACCACCTGAGTCTGTCTTCGGTTTGCCTGCTGGTAGGAGGGAGGCTTAAGGTCAGCGGGAGTCAGTTGCAGTACAAGGAAGACCTGGGTGTTTTGTGCGCTTGATCGGTGGAGTCTTTGACATCCTTTTGAAAAGGAAAAGAAAGCACAGTGGCTTTTGATGTTTTGGTGGAGTTCAGGAAAACGGGAGTGCCATGTCTTGGGATCTTAGTGCATTTACCTGACCACCAGCTCAGGTTACTGTTCCAGGTCTCTTTGAAATAAAGGGGGGTGAAATGTTTGTTCTACCTTAGGCAGGGAAAATGAGTTTTTAATTACTTCTGCCAACCTCACTACTGCCAGTGATGTAGGCATCTGGTGTGACGGAAGGATTCTGCCTGTTGAAGTGGGTGATGGGTTTTCTGTGGGGGGTTTTGGAGAGGATTGTGGATGAGGTTGGTGGGTCTGACCATCACAGGTTTTGCAGAAACCTAGCTTATGAGTAAAAGTTACTTGGAAGGAGTTGGGGAGTTTGTAGTGTTAGCAATCTTTAGTGTGTGAAAGAGTTAATCAAATATGTGCAGCTTCAGAGGATAGCAAGGAATGTTCTTGAGCCTCCCTCTGCAGCTAGTGGAAGTCGCTGATTTTCTTGTTTTATCCATAATCTCCCTGAAACTTCTCCAGCCCTTGTCTGTGGTTCTGGGCTCAGGCAGTGGTGGGTCTGGCTGTGGTCTTGTTAGTTAGAAAGTGCCTCATGATTTGACACCGAGCAAATGACCATGGCTTTTGGGGTGGGAGGAAGTGGCGGAGCTGATCCAGAGAGGGGCAGGCTATGTTATTCATACACCTTGATGGCTGGCAGAGCTGGCGGTTGAGATGATTCCTTCTGCGCTGGCTGTGCACAGCAGGGGCAGGAGTACTCGCCTGGGATCCAAACTTCCACTCTGGTGCCTCATTTATCCTTTGGTCAGTTCCTATCCCTGGGCCTTGGGCTCCTGACCTGAACAGGGTTTACAAGGCTTCTTGGTAATACGTTGAGTATCCCCTGGTTGCATAGGGCTTTCCCGGTCAACGAAGGGCTTGTATACCTGGTCTCATGCAACAAAGTGTTGGAGGGGCCGAGGCAGGGATATCAATGCCTTCTCCCCGACACCAGATCCTCCCCTTGCGGGACTGGTGGACAGTGCCTCTCTGAGGGGGGCTTTCTCTTCCAATATGAAAGAACAAGATATTTGGTTGACCTTTGACTAATTGATACTTGTTCTTTGTTGGGATGGGGTGGAGTGGTTCTTGCATAAGAATACCTTGGCGGGGGGGTCCTTGCTGAGAGTGGGGGTGAGGTGGGAGGGATGGGGGCATGAGTTCCTGGATTAAGAACCTGTAGGTTTCCTTTATTGGCAGAGTCACCCAGTTTGCTCTGCATGTGAATCATAGCCCTGACTTTGACAGTTTAACCTTTTAACTGAATGCAGCCCTTTTGGGTTGGGGACGGTAAAAGGAGCCTAAACGGAGGTGCACGGATTCTCATCCAGATTCCTACCTGTGCAGTCTGGGCCTCTTGTGTCCGTGGGTGGGCTGCACTAACCTGTGTGGGCTTCAGTGCCCCTGGCTAATGTGGGGGTAAATCTGTCTTCCGCACTGTGGTAATCACAGGCAGAAAATCACAGGTGTAAGGCGTTTTAGCACACAGTAGGTGCTTGATAGATGAGGGTCATTGCTCTCATTACAGATAGCTGGCTTTCTAGAAGAGGCTGGGTCCGTGGTGATCTCTGGGCTGCGTTTGCCCAGCGAAGGCTAGAAAGGGGGGGCTGGACCTTTGGGAGATGCGGTGCTGCTAGCACCGCACATTGTGCGCTTGCCGTTGTGTACACAAGTCATAATTAGTAACCCGATCTCATTTTATTTTTCAACTTGCAGTGTATTTTGGGACCTTTACTGTGCAGCTCCTGAAAGGCGAGACACTTGTGAACATTCAAGTGAAGCAAAAGCCTTTCATGATTACGTGAGTAACAAAATTTTAATCCTGGCAATAATTACAGGGTTGGATAGCTCTAACTTCTTTAGGACTGAACGCAAATACACGGCCAATTGGCAGTGGGTTTTGTTTTCTCCTTGACTTTCTTTTCTGCCCATCTTCCTGTTGCCCTCGCCCTGTACCCTCCTCCAGCACCATTCTGACTTGGTGAACGGTATTTCATAATGTTGTAATTATGCAAAAGAGTGTGTAGATACCTATCTGGAGAATTAAGTGGCGTTGAGCAGGGTTCAACTGTGTGAGGTTTATGTTCAGAGTGGACAGTTAGCTGGGAGGGGACTGAGCCTCTTTGGTGTTGGTTTAAGAAAAAATGGACCACAACCAAAAAATAAAAAAAGCAAGTGTTAAACTTGTATTTTGGAGTAGAAGGGATGTTGTGTGAGAATTTGGTGAATTGCACTCACGCATTACTTTCCAGGGAATGATTTTTCTTTTTCTTTTCTAAGATTTTACTTATTTATTTTTAGAGAATGCGGAAGGGAGAGGGAGGGAGGGAGGGAGAGAGGGAGGGAGAGAAACATCAATTGGTTGCCTCCCCCCCCCCCCCAAAAAAAAAACTGGACTCCAAACCTGAGTTGGTGTCAGACTTTACGATCAGGTGAAATGTTAGTTAGGATGTTTTAGGGAAGGTGGAAGGGGAAGTATCTGAAGATCTTCCCAGCCTCCTTCCAGTCTGCTTGGCATTGGTCTTAACCTTCTACAGGAAGGTTAAGTGTGTACCTGTCTGTGTGTACGTGTGGGCATGTAAGAGGCGTGATCTCTTTTGTCTTACACGTCTGCATGAAGTGGAGAGGAACTGGTCCCCAAACTCTGGGGCATGGAAGTTGTTTTTTTCAGTGGCATCAGGGCATACCTATTTGGTCAGGTCATTTGTGTCCCCTGCATGCAGAATTTGAAACTGGCCTAGGAGACCAGACCCTGTCTTGGTTGAGTTTCACAAGTGGTCAAACCCCATCACCACGAATATCTTCATGGTAAAAATTTCTCCTGTAATACGAGGAGCTACAGACTCAGCCGGAGGCTGCCTGGTTTTGAGACTATTCAATGTGATGAAATTCTGCTATGACTGAACAGTTAAAGCCCTTGGAGTGGAATGCTGAGGGAATTGACCGGTTCTCATGCCTTCTCTAGGGCTGAAAATGAGAAGCTGGCAAATGGTACTTAGGGCCTGGTAACCTTTTAGTAGTGAAAGGTGAGGAGACTCCTTTACTTGTGATGTGGTTCTGGGAAAATCCGTGGTGGTGATCATAGGGTTTCCTGACCTGGAGGTCGGAGGAGGAGGCTAGGAAGTACATCAGCCATAGAAAAATAGTTGGTGAATTTGACCTTTCTGCCTAGTAAAAAAGTCTTGTGTTTTTTGTTTTGTTTTTTTCAGCCTATAGACAGCCAGTTCCTGTGTGGCCAGTCTTCGACTGCTATGCAAATGGTTTTATTTTGGGGTGGGCGATGGGCAGGTGTGCCTGTTTCAAGTCCATCACTTGACACAGGTACCTGTGCTATTTTTTGAAGTTATCTTTTCAGCCACGTTAGTGATTTCTGACTAAGCGAGCACTCCGGTGCATAACGTGAGCTGCCCCTTGGCGGTCTGTGGTGTGGCCTGCCGCCTCGGAACAACATGGCGGCGAGCGCTCGCCCGGGTTTGCTTCCGGTGACGGACTGAGGCGTGAGCGGCAGTCGGGATTTCTGAGGCTCGTGTTGACGTTTAGAAGTTGCAACCAAGAGATGAGGTCACACTGAGGCCCAGGTTTTAGGGTCCAGACCCTTTTTCTTGGATTGGAATCTGCTTACTGTTCTGTGCCCAGAGAGTCAGGTCACGTGGGAGGAGGGACGGCGTGATGAACGGAACCGGAAAGGATCGGCTCCCCTGGGAAGGAGTTAAGAGGTAGCACTGAATTGCAGAGAAGACAGGCTACTTGAAAAATTAAGAACTATTTAAGAAAATTCAGAAAAGAAACACTCTTTTTGTCTTTGTCCTTCTCAAATCTTCTTGTGTTCTCTCCATTCCCATGGCTACTAGCTAGTTAGCCCATGTTACTTCTTACTTGAGTTATTGCTATAACCTTTTTCTGGACTCCTGGCTGGAATGCGTGCTTCCTATACCCACTCACATCCTATCCATCTTCTCAGTTCTCCGTCCTGGAGGACTTGCACGGTAGTTTCTGCACACCTGGATTGCTCCTTGATTGCAGTGTCTATTAAAACCACCTATACAAAGCCTTTGTTGGTGGCTTTCCATGTGCTGGGTACCTGTGCAGAGTGGTACAGGTTCGGTGACCCTGTGAGAGAAGGCACGTTGTTAACTCCATTTTCCAGGTGGAGAAACTGAGGCACAGAGAGACTAACTAATTCATAGCTGGTAGGGGGTAGCATTAGGATCTAAACACAGGTCAGAACTGACTCCAGAATCGGTTCTCTTTACGCCAAGGCTTGGCTCACAGGTCTGTGGCATCATTTGTCCGCACCTGTTCTGACTAACTTCTCGTTCAGGTTTGTCTTTCCAACCACAGCTTATTAATTTTTTCTGCAGCAGAGACCATTTGTCCACAGAGCTGTTCATCTCTGTAGCTCCCACAGTATCCTGCACATAGTAGGCATGCATGCTAATTGAATGAAGGAGTAAGGAACTATGTGGGTAAGAAAAAATAGGTAATTTGGGGTCAGTAAGTAGCCTGGTCTGGAACAATCAATGGAATACTGGATGATGTTCATTTTTGCCAGGTGATCTTGAGCCAGGCAATTTTATGTGGGTTAACTAGTTACTTTAAATCCTTTTTAGAAGATAAAGTGGAATATCCATTTTCGATCAAGGAGATTTAGAGATTTTCATGGTTTGTGGGTGAGTCCTGCTAGCTCAGGTACCAGGTTCAGGGCATGGTGGGTGCTCGCTGGGCAGGGATGGGGTGGGTGCCTCACTCCTGAGTGGCTGGAAAGGACCGCTGTCCATTCACAAGATCCTGGTCTCAGCTTTCTTAGGGAAATGGCTTTGTGTTCCTGGCAGGTCGTCTCCTCTTCCTGATGGGTCAGGGCCTTCTCAAAGGCTCTTCTCAGGTCAAGGCCAGGCTATAGGGCCTGGAATGAGCTGTATGACTCAGCAGGGAGGAGGTTTAAATTTTCTTTGAATTGGTGAGTTTTTATTTGAGTCACAGTCTATTTTCCCCCACACATCTGGCAACTTCAGGTTTCTTGGCTCATTGTTCGTAAGCCCGAGTGCCCTGCTGTTGACCACATGTATCTGTGGAGCATTGGGGGATTTGGTACCTGGAGTGGACTTTTCTGGAAATTAGTTTCTTTTAAGCCAGAAGAGCTCTGAGGCCATGGATGGAGGCTCACAGGGACCCTGCCTGTGGTTTCCTTGTTGTTCCTCTCTGGCTGGAACAGTGACTGTGGAGTGGTGATGAGAGCCCTTGGGGTCCCAGTGGGTTTTCTTAGATGCCACTGTCTGGGTTCTGGCCCTTTGTGGAGTGGCCGCTCCCAGCTGCCTGCTGTGTCTCTCTCGCTGTGGGCCGAGTGCTGTGCTGGCGTTCTTCTGTACCTTCACCTCCTCCAGCGTCTGCGTGGTTGTGAGAAATGTCCTAGGTGCCTTCTCAACCACCAGCAGTCCTTTCCCTCCTTGTGGGAGCTAATTTTGTGTTTTCCTTTTGGTGGTGAGAACTGAAGGGAGTAGATAAGGTCCGTGAAGTGGCGTCTTTTGAGTGGAAGGCACTGGAGGGCAGTGATGGGTTTGTGCATAGCTCATGTCGCTGCACTTCTCATAATGCTTCTTCAGTGTGTGGTTGTGGTCTGGTCTCACTGCTGCCTTTGTGGTAGGTTTTATTAAGTCTCGTCACCATTTTACAGATGAGGGAACTGAGGCTTAGAGTTCAGATGCTTAGAGTTCAGATGCCAAGGGCCTGTGGCCAAAGGGTGGAGGGAAGGAGTATATTTTTGACTCAAAGTGTGCCCACACATTTTCACTGAAGAAGTGAATTTAGGGCAGAATGAAACCCAGGTTCCTGAGAGGGGAGTTGCAGAGTCCTGGCAGAGGTGAGGCCTGAGCCCTGGGAAGGGGGTTTGTTATGGTGCGCCAGCCCTTTTGGCAGGGAAACGTGATAAAAGCTATGGCGTTTCCTTCCATAAAATACATGTGTCCCCCCACAAAGGAGACTTTGTGCGTGATTTCAGGAGGTGCACGGACTGCTGCCCTAAATTCCAAAGTCCTTTTGTGATTTCCCAGTGAAGAACTTGGGTTTGTAGTGGAGATAGAGTTCCATGACCATGTGGGCCTTGAGCCTCAGTTTCCCTACTCTGAAAACCTCTGCCGTATGAGCCCGAGTCAGCCTCTCTCTGTGGGGCTGGTTCCGTTGCCCCGGTGCTCCTGCCCAGAGGGACTCTGCTGACCCCTGTGCCCCCTGTTGTGAGGCTGGTTCTCCAGGCAGGTTGGTTAAGAGTCCTGGGCGTGCATGGGAGCAGAGGTATTTGTGGCTCCATGGCAGGGGTCCAGCGTCCTTGGTGGGTTTGAAATAGCAAAGTGATATTTGAGAGGGCTCTCCTTGGATGTGCTGAGCTGAGGTTCCTGCCAGGCAGGGAGTGTCCACGCCTGCCAGAGCCTGTGGGAGCAGGGGCATGAGAAGGTGGCAGCTCGGGCAGGAACGGGAGGAGGAGGAGGCTGCAGCTGGGCTCTGGGTAGCTTGGGGGAGCGCTCTCCCCTGCGATAAGCCAGCATCGCTGTCTGCTCAGAGGTTCTGATGAGTTCACGGAGTTGCCTTTGGCTCTGACCCTTGTGTGGCAGATTATGGAAACAAAACACACACAGTTGTTTCTGTCCCCGCTCCCCTTGGAGCTTAGACTTCGTGTTGTGTCCTTTCTTCAGGCTCCCACCCCACTTGCTGCAATTCCTCTTGACCCCCGGAGGCTGGCAGACTCCTCCATCGGTAGTTAATTAAACACTAAATGAGTAACTGGAATTGCATTTTGCCAGAACCCAGGCA